TCACAGCATATGCTTTCCTGTGCCACTTGGAAATTCCCCAAGTATACATAACCCATTCATTTACAAAACAAATGACCCACTGTCCTTAGCAAATCCAGCAGAATCGTTTAATTTACATCAAGTAGGTGATCTACTGCAGGTTCAGCTGTTGCAGATGGCAGCATCTTGAAGGAGGACAATGTACAATGTTATTGTCTAAAGTTTAATTTTTAACCACATTTGGAATTGTATTTTGTTTGTGGCATAAAAGCAACAGAACATTTTCTACCACTACTATTGTTAGCAGTGCTTTAATCATGATACTTTGAAACCTAAACCTGACTTTGAAAAGTTCACAAAAGGTCACTCTCAGAAATCTTACGGAAAGTTGGCATCTGTGCAGCCCTTTACATACATTTATACAGAGCACAGAATGTTTTTAATTGAATTAGAAGCACATCACTCAACATTCAGTCACAGGGTCTGAGCAGAGCGAGTGATCTGTACCACATACAATGCATTAGCTAATTTGAGTGAATTTCCCAATGTCTTTGAAAAGATGAGAAACTGTTAACTTTTGTGCTCTGCACAATGTGACATATTGGCAGATGAGCACGACCAGTCTACGTGCAAAGCTCTATCAGCCCAAAAGGGCTCTGAGATATTTGCTAAGAGTTGTCAGAAGAGAACCATTTTCAATTGACTGCACCTTCCTTGGCCCTTCCTCTGCATTTGTGAATATTCCTGTTACATGTTTTAAAATCTTAACTTCCTCAGATCTTTTCCTCAGATTGCATTGACTAACTTAATATTGAAGTGCACTGCTTGGTTAGGTAGTACTACAGGGACTTGCGGTAGTTCATACAGATGATTTCTGACCACCTTAATTATCCTTCTGGCTAGTTTGACCTAGACATTCATTTCTGCTTTCTGAAACAAACAAACAAACAAACAAACAAACAAACAAAGAGCCCTATATCTCCTTTGTGATCCCCAGTTTCTTCCTTGGTACCAGACCCACTATTGCTTTTGCTTCACATCCAGTTTTCTTTTTTTCTCCCCTTTTTGTTACTAGGTGGAGCAATCACACGTTTTGATGAATCAGCAACTTTGAAATTAGTTATCAGAAGCTTTTCCTGTTATTTTTTGCCAAGTTAGTCTGTTCGAGAGTCCTACCTATGGCCAGCAAGAAATGCAGATCTGTAGAAGCTTAAACTAAATGAGAGTCACCACTGCTGCCTTCTCTTTTATGATCCAGATTCGTGCTTCCTCCAGTTAAGGATGTAAAAAGGTAGGAGTTTCATCTTCTTCTCTGTGATCCCTGAAAAAGCTTTGGGATCACTTTTCCCTTTCCACAGCTGGCAGGCAGGAGCCCAGCTACAGAACTTATGAACCAAACTAGATTTAGCACTGATACTCCTGCTATGCCTTAGGGTTTGACTTGCACAGACTTCCTCTGCAGCCAAAACACAGCTCCAGGTTACCTAGACTGACTGTTCTACCCCAGAACTACTATTTTGGCAGAAAAGCACTATCCAATTTTGAGAGCAGAGTTTCGCTTATGTGTCTGGCTGCAAGATAAAGGATAAATGCCTAATACATATGTAGACTACCTTTTATTAATACAGGAACAGCCAGTTTATAAAGCATGTTACTTGATGGGCTTCAAGAGCAAAGGTGTTGCCATAAGAGGTCTACACAGCACCTGCCCTGCCAGTTATGTTGTCTGTAGTAAAGCATCCAGGTGATTTCTTCCAAATGAAACCCGTCTCCCACAGTCTAACACTTTTCATTTGTTATTTGGACTTTCTATAAGATGTGAGGAAAACCTGACTGTGGGGAAACAACCAGCAGGTCTCTCCAGCATAGCCTTTACATCACAAAACATACTGCAGCTTTGTATTTGTTTCCCATTTACCTTTTTGAATAGCTAGTGCTGAACTGTAATATGACAGTGAACTCTCCAGCTTGACTGACTCAAAAGCTCTCAATCTGTGTTTTACTGTAGGATGTGGAAATAAGATTGCACATCACTAACTTTCTCCTAGTTAGGTGTTTTTTGCAGCTTACAAATTTCTCTTGTTAATCAACATTCGAGGTAGGCAACAGCATCCTCCCAAAACAGCAGTAGGAACTTTACAAGCAATTCTTTTCTAAAATCCTTTCGTTGTCTGAAATACTACTTTTGCTACCAATGCTCTGTTTTTTAAGCAAAATTAACACCAGCAAGAGAGCTTGGTCAGCTGATATTTAGATAGAACATATACCCCACTGAAGGAAAGTTAGGGGTGGCTGCTGTGAGGGAGGTTCTTTCACACTGCATTTCTTGTCTCCAGCCACTGGTCTAGCTTTGGTCCCTTCTGTTACATGCCAGGTATTGGACACATGAAAACAATGAAAAAATCAGTTTTGTAACAAAATTTATTTTTGCTCTGTGGATACAAATCCCAAACATCAACAAAACAAATTCCAGTGGAAAAATACCAGTCATTAACAATGAAAACTTTTATTATTTATTTAATAAATAGAACTTTGGCATTCAAAATTCTAGCTGTAAACCCTACTTTAAAAAAAATTACAAAAAGAGGCAAGAACAACAAGCCTAAAGCTGAACCAGTCAGTGGCTCCTTTACTTTTTACAATGAACACATTTTGATTAAGTCATGACAACTCTATTTACATATGAGGTATTCTGAGCGGTCGGTTCAAAAATTGAACCCAATTTACAAAACTACCAGTCTTTAGGGACTGATCCAGTACATATGTCAGCTGTGCTTTTAAAAGTTAGCTCCAGACACTCCTCCCCACTGAACTAATGATATACTGTAATTAATATACACAAAATCCACACACTATGATTTGAGTTTCCTGCTCACACTTCATATTCAAAAAAGCTGCATACTACCACCAGCCTAACATCAAAAGCGTATACCTAGTACCTATTGTAAGTACTTATATTTCTAGATGTTATGCAAGAGTCCATACTACAAAAGCCTATAAACAAAATATTGGCAGGCAAGAGGGAAACAAGGTGCAGTCATTGACATTCTAACAACTTATCTATAGTTCATAGGGAATATACGCTTACTTCGGGCAAAAAAAAAGGCACAAAGGTATGCAGCTGTGGAATCAATATTGCTAATGAGCTACTGGAATAAATGATCTCTTTACATAATATCCATCGACTTGTTCTCAATCTAAGAACGCAGATTAATTCAAAAGATCTTTTCCCCCACTCACGACAGAACTTGTTAGATCAGTCAGAGGAGCCCAGTTATATCTTCAACTCCACCTATGCAAGAACATTGATAACGACAGGAAAACTGGAGAAAGCTAAGTCCCTGCCGGTACATGGCAGCGTGCCAGTGCTGCCAGTGCTAGGGCAGCAGGCGGTGGAGGAAGCGTTTTTCTTTCTCTTTCTTTCCTCGTGCTCCCACCCTGCAAGCAGTCCAGAAGACTGTTTGAAACAAAGGAAGGAAAGAAACCTTTCGAAGTGAAAAAGGTCGCAATCACTTCAGCTCTTGCAATTACTGCACAGTCACAGGCAGTTTTAAGATGCTGAAGTCTGAGTGGGTGGTTACAGCAATCTCAATCATTTCACAGAATGATCACACTATAAAGCTACACAGCTGAGGCTGGGAACCTAAATCAAGCTTACACAATTGCGCTGCATTCCTTCTATGTAGCAAATACATAGCATCATCTATAGCTTGTCCAAAGACAGTTACTTTGAGTCTTTTTCAAAATACATTCTTGAATACAGTAGTTAATTACTGTAAGTATCTTCTAAAGGATTGTATAAATTCAATCTGAAACTATACAAAAAAACTGCTGTACAAATTTGCTGACAGACAGAACTGTACAGTATCCATTCATTAGCAGTTGCTTTTCAGCCCTTGAGATTGTCTAACAGCTACAGCAAAAAGTTGTCATGACTAAATCTAGGCAATTCCAATGTTAACATTCATTAATCAACTGTGTATTAAATACGCTGAATGAGACCACACACACTACTTTTTAACCAGTTAAACAATCATGCATATCCTAGACAAAGCTTACTCCATTTAGAGGCATCTGTAAACTGATGCATACATAGCAATTGCTACTACTACAATAGGCCAAATTTTAAGAAATCAAGCAAAATACTGTATTACTGTATATATTCAGTCGGTAATCTGTATCTTTGGCTCACACATCCATCATTTACCTCCCTACTTTTAATGTGATTTAGGCAGATAAACTCAGCGTGCTTTAAAATCAAGTGCTTTAAAGTCAACAAAAATATCACAGATTCTGTAATAAAAATTTAAAAATGCAAGTAGGTTGTAGCATCACAATCCAAGTATTACAACTAAAGTGGGACGTCTTTCCTGAGGGACTCTCAACTAATACTTAAAGAGCATAAAAGCTCCTGAAGTGCTTTCCAAATATTAAATTACTAATCTTAATTCTGCTGTACAGTATCACCATTTGAGAGGTGGGACAGTGGAGCCACACCAGTCAAACGACCAGCTTAATAATACAAAGTGACAGAAAGGGACTCAAAAAAAAAAAATCTCCCGTTCCTTTTAAATTGCTCTACTAGACTCATTATTTCCAAAAAATTTAGAAGAATGTGTTACTCGGTAGTTTTTATAACACTTCCATCTAAGGAAATAATGTGCGACTTAGGTATTTCCTCCCTCCCTAATACTTCTAGGTTACTATCTGAAATTCTATTGTTGAATTTCTGATACCAGACAAAGATGCCATGAACTGGGGCCTGTTACTTCCCTGCAGGGCCAAGAACAATGAATGGTATCAAAGGAACTAGCTGTTTAAAAAAAAAAAAAAAATACTGAGGCTCCAGTCATAAAAGCCAGTACTGCTAGAGGCACAGGAAACTGGGAAAGTCTATTTGTGCAAAGATCTTGTTTTCTCTATTTTGCACTAGTATGAAAGTATATCTTCAAAACAATAGAAACAGCAGTGTTTAGACATTAAAAATAAATGGCCTCCTTCCCCCCCCCCCCCGAAATTTCACTTGAGATTTCATTTAGACAGTTTTTAGTGCTTGCAAGGCGGTGGGTCAGTCAGGTTAATCTACCTGAACATACTGTGAAGCAATAACAGAAATAGTAACACTACTTTTCAGATTAGTCTGGATGATGTAGGTTCAGGATAGAGAATACTGTCGAATAAATAAGTCCATATAGTTAAAAAAACAATTTTTAAATCACTAAATTATAAAAATAACATTAAGAGTAACTGTTTAACATGCAACAGAAAGTGAAACATTGCCAAGTTAAAATTGGTAACTTTAGTCTACCTTGCTATATGCTTTTTCTCCTATTAGTTTCGATATCATCAGAAAACTGAAGATGCTAACTCATTTGGTACAGGAATTTTACTTAGTCCTAACCATTCGGCTTTCTAACAAAGATTTCTGCTGTTACCAACGCTACAGGTCAGCTGACCAACTGACTTTCACCTCAGCCGTTCCAAACTTTCTTTAAATATCACATATAGTCGACTCTCCTATTTTTTCTTAGTAATGTAATTTCAGAGTGGTTTTGCTCTTCGCGGATTTTTGTTTCCTTCAGTAAAATGCTATTTTACGCCACACACAACTGCTGAGCTAACCTTCAGTATTGCTGCCGGATGGTGGAGGGGTTAGTATTCCAGCTGTCCCGCAGGAGGCAAATAGCACTGCCAAGTGACACTCACTGAGTAAACTGTGGAACATGTTCTTATCTTTTTTTTAAAAGGTAATCTCTTCCTAAAAATATGGAGGAATTGAGAAATCCCAAACAACGTGGAAAATTTTGCAGTCTTCAGATAACTGAGTAGTCAACACCGGTAAGCGGAAACATTCTGTTCTGAGCCCTGATTTTGCAAAGTGCCAAACACCCGTTTCGTAGCTCTAGTCAAAAATGCTTGCAGTTGTTTACCATCTTAGCAGCGGCCTTCTGGGACAGAACCCTGCATATATAGACTAGCCACATTTTAAAGTGGAGTTAAAGGAAGGAAGAAAAAAGAAAAAAAGCATGGTATGAACACTAAAATAGTCTACTCTTTTTTCCAAACAGCCACATCCCATGCCACAATTTTTTACCTCCCAGCTTCTCTGGGTTTCTGACAGACTTCGTACTTTTGAAAACAACGGGAAGATTTGATAGTCCTAAATTTGATGAATTTCATGCACATGAAGAAGTTAAAACTTGTTTTTGCTTCTGCTATTGGGAGAGCATGCTTGAGATCCATTAGGGAAAATGGCACCTTTTCTCTATCAAATTCTTTAGGCGATTAAAAGAGTAGCCATTTTTTGTAGTGCTCTAGGATTATTCCAATTGCAATTCCTAGAATGAAGTGCAGTCGCAGAAGCCTCTGGCTTTATCACATACAGATCTAGCTCCTTTGACCCTTTGCTCCCATTTCAAAATACAGATGATTCCTTCCTCAAAGGTTTGAATGGCAAGGACAGAGTAGTAGCAAAACAGTAATTTTGATGCTCTCATTCCAGAAACCACATGAAGTAATAAACTGAGTCCTAATGAAGGAAACAAAGTATCCAACCGAAACATTCTTCACAGCTTGTTCCCACATTCAGTAGTTTGGAGAAAGATTTCTTGTAGCTTGTACCACTCTATTCAAACAATGGCTCTCCCTTCCCCACCTGACTCCCAAGATTAAATATGCACAATCCTCACGGATATGCATGTGCAGCTCTATTTGCAATCTTCCAATATGGCTCCTTAATAGAAATGCAAAGACCTGTGACACAGCAGCGTTTAATAAGTCATTTGCTGCTAGATGAAATGTTGTCATTGAGTAATGCAATTGTCCCCCATGTCCTGAGCGTAACGGTCCGACATTATAGTCCTTAATTCATCAATATCTTTCCGTAACTGACAAACATCCAAGAGCTTCTTCGAAAGAGTTTCTGTGCTGTGGTAATTTTCACTCTCTTCAGCTGAACAGCTCAGCGCTGTGAAAAGCAAAACCCAAGGTTAAAGCTTGCTCTACAACTGTGCTCTGTAAACACTTACCAGTCACCCCCCTTCAAAACAGGGTGGGGGGAGATGATGTTTTAATTACATCAAGACAAATCATGCGTCAGTATGATGAAAAGCCAAGAAAACGTGGTACTGTGTGAACATAAAGCCAATTCAGAGCCTACCATTACTTCTCTGAAAGACAGGCTTTTCGGTTTGCACTGAGATCTAGGCTTGCCAGTGGCTCTCAACAACAGTGCTAGGATGAAGAAACTGGGCAGAACCGCCAGGCTAGAGGTTTCAGCAGTATCTAGCCAATCAGAAAAGAGGGGTAGGAGGATTCAGGAAACGAGGTCACATTAGATTATGGAACAGTACTACAGCTGTATTACACCATTCTTCTTGCTGGTTGATGATGGTCTCATGAACTCTGAGACTGTCATATGCTGCACTCCTCAATGCCCCTGGGGTTGCAGCACAAAAGAATACATGTGGTGTGTAGCAGCTTTGCTGCATAGGACAGTACACTTTCCCCTTTCTACTTTGCTGAAAGTTCAGCCAAAAGTCTATCTGACTAGTTCTAATTAACATCCAGAAAACAATATAATACATTCATGTAAAAAAAAAAAAAACCACAAATTATTTTGTGAACTTGTTAAAAGAAAAGAAAAAGAACCAACCTTAACACAAACTAATTACACCAAAGTTTTGTCTGACTAGCTTTAGGATGTGTTCTGTGCCTCCAGGTTAGGTTTAACAGCTTAGGAAATCCAAACAACTACATGCACAATTAACTGTCCTGAAGATGGCATTGCCTGGCAGTCAGGTTTATTTAATACATGTAGACTTGCCCCCAAAAACACACCCACAGATGTTTACACTGTAGATGTATACGCCCTCCATCACTTGAGCCCAAGGGCTTTAAAACAAAAAGCACACTTGAAGTCGCTACATCAGGCCTGCTTATGCCTAACCTCCCTCCCTATGAGTTTGTAGGTCTGAACATGCTTGGCAGAAAACACCTGTTAGCCCTCAAGGTGACTGCAGTGCGTCTCAGGAGGGAGAGACATCGGGGTACACACCTTTCTTTCTAACACGGTGAGTATATCCATGACTAGGTCCATAGGAACAGTCATCTGGCTACCTTCTGTCCTTGGAGCTGACAAGGACCTGTGTACTCTTACGTATTTAGTAGCCCAATGTTTCCAGAGAGCTCCAGTACAGTTCCTGCACAACTGCTTCAGTTGCACAGCAAGGGGAAGACTGTGGCCTGTCCAGCTGGCAAGTCTGAGCACTTCGCTAAACTTTTATTCTTCTGTGTCAAAACATGATTAAGCATTAGAATGACAGCATGACTTACATCTGATTCCCAGCAGTAAGGAAAGGTTGGGCTCCTTGCCCTGAGCTCTCTGGGTAAGAATACTGCACAGCGCTTTCAAGTCATACAAACAATGGGACATTTCCTTGAACAGCTGGTCTGCTATGGGCATCTTCTCAGAGACTGGCTGCCTGGCCTGTTCCACCTGCCGTATCTGCTCCCTCAGAGAGGCGTTCTCTTCCACCAATCTTTGGTTCTTCATGAGAGAGAAACAGGAAAAAGGGTCAAGTTGATTTGTAACATACAGTGTAGCAAAAAGTTTTCTGTTTCAAAGTACAAATAGCATTAATGAAAATTAATTAATTTCCATACATAGCATCAATACTTCTCTAGACTCCAAAGCATGACAGCTAACGAGCTTTTACCCAACTGTTTATTCCACGGGACCATTGCTTACTGGCTTTGACACTAAAAATGCTCACTTTTTCAGGTAGAGCTGGTATCTGCTACCTGACTGCACAGCATCCAGCACAATGAAGACTGTATTAAGCTCATGAAGTCTTTCCATGAGACATCATAATCATATTCTACAAGCTTTTTCCTTGCTGGTTTAGTCTGGGGTTGGGTTTTGAAGGGGTTTTACTTACTTCAAAGAGAGTTTTATTTAATCGCTCTATATTCTTTTCTTTTTCTTCAAGCTCATTTGTTATCTTCTGAACTGCCAACTTTTCTTGCAAAAGTTTCTCTTGCATAGACTAAATTGAATGGAAACACAGGCAACGATTTCAAATTTTCACACTGTACGTTAGCACTGACAAAAAACACATCCTCAGTGAACTTCTACATTCTAGTTATTTATTGCTTTTGCATTACTTCCTCACTTATTTTCTACCATGTTCCACCTGGTAAGTATTTACCTGGAGCAACAACTAACATAACTACCTGCTAACATAACTATTCTAAATATCAGCCAAGCCCTTTAAATGAGCAATATCAGTTTATAAACAAAAAAAAAAACCTCATGCAAAATATTACTCTAATAAAAAAATGCATGAAGTCTAAAATAATCATGCAGAACTGTTTATTCTACCCACATAACTTCACTTGAAGTAAGAAGGATATTAATGACAACTAAGGTCCATTTGTGTAATTACTGAGTTATAACTAAGGATTTTTTTGGTCTCTATTTTCCATGAATACTGTGGCAGGGGTTCTTACAGCCTTTCACAACACAGAAGTCACCTGGTGAATTTGCAGTGCAACTGAGAAGAAAGTCCTTGACAGTTTATAACTGAGCAGTGACCTCTGTTTAACACCATTCACACACAAGATCAATCACAATGCTCAGCATCTCTCTACTCTGTTCAGCAACAACTGCAGGTAACTTATTTGTAGTTTATAGTATAGCTTTAGCAGATGGAATAATTATTATTGTCAGTAACAAAGTCAACAGAATGTTTCTAGGATTCTGTTGTACTTAACTCTTGAAGCCTTTTGTGTTTATTTCCAGATCAATCACAAGCAGCAATAAACCCAAACCCAGCAACACTGCAATCAGCTGCTGCCAATTCCTCCAAGTCTTCTTGTTGCAAGTGACTTAACTACTCCGAAGCTTCTCCTTTAAGCAGTGCAAAGCCTACCTATAACACATTTTAATATCAGTTGCATTAGGTTTTGAAATATCTGATAGCTCACCTGATGCATATGCTTTGAGAAAAATCACACTGCTAATCAATTTATTAATTTGAATAACATATGGAATTGCTACATCTAAAACTTCACTGTACTTAACTGTGTTCCAGTGTGATTTAACTTGTATTTTACTTTTTAGTAAGATAAGGATAATCTTACGTCGCAAAGAGACATGGAATCTATAATTCATACGCAGTAGCCTTAAAGCACTATATTGCAACGGAGTTTGACTATCCCAGATTAAATGAGTGAACTGTATTTTGTTTTTACAGTGGATTTCTGATTTTCATCCACAGAGCTGAAACTCAGAAATCATTACATACTTCCACTTGAAATTTTGCGGTGAACTCCGCGTGACCACATTTTACCTTTGTTGTCACAAGCAGGCAGGTTTATTTTGCTACTCGGCTTTTATATCTTGCATGTAGGCCTTTCAAGGTCATTTGACAAAATTCAGAAGAAGGAATAGTCAACCCACTAATCTGAACACTAGTAGCAATGCATACCGATTATATAAACTCCTGATGCTTTATACCCCAGAGATCTTTTCAACTTTCACAAAGGAGGGACGGGAAATTTGTTGTTAATAGTATCACTCAGAAATCTGATGCTCCGCTACCACAGTACACAAAGAGTCCTCCACCTCCCTAACTCAGCAGCACATTAGCATGTAAAACCTGTTACCCAATTTCAATTATAAGATGTAAATCCAATCCTATCTTGCTCAAAATACAGCTAGAGCATTAGTAACAAAGTGGCAGGCTTTGGCACAGTTTTGATTCTAACCTTCCATACGGTGGAACTAGAGATTGTGACGGGGGAAGAGGAGAAAGAGCGTTTCACAAACCATCAGAGCTCACTTTACAGAATAGCCTTGTCTGGGAAGAATGTTTTTCTTGAATCTCTGCAGGTAAAAACCCAGACATTGATCTTCCAAAGCCCAAAACTCTCTTACAGAGAAACCTAAATGGTGGCTTAAATAAAATGCTATGGAAAGGTCAACTCACTCTTTAGTATAAGACACATTTAAATTGCTGCATCCTCATTCTGCAGCTTTATTCAAGGGAGTGTGGGGCAGTATACACGCACATACCTGGAAAAAATATATCAAGCTCACCACTTGATAGAACCACAGCAAACTGTGTGAAACTTTGTTAGTTTGGGGGACTTAAGAAAACAATTAAGCTTTGGTTAAAACAACAACAAAAAAGTGCCAGGCTTCCTATTATGTGAACTACTCCTTAACTGCATGAAAAATGGAATTTTCAGGGCACTAATATTGTGAATTGTAGAGCATACAGAGACTATGCCTATGTGCACAGCTGCCTTATACCATATATATGGCCTACAGAGCGTAAAGGAAGGCATGTATTTGACTTCCCAGCTGTAAGAATCATTAGTGCTGACAAGAAGGCTGAGAATATTGAGAAGCAAAGTAGGGTCAACGCTACGTGGAATTACTAATGGCCTGGCCACACACTGGAGGTACGCAGCCTTGACCAACAATTTCCTAATATAGTCAGTTCAACATCACACAAGCAGCAAAAACAGTCAGTATTTTTCATACCCTTTGCAAAATTGGAAAACAAAAGCGTTAAAATTTAGACATTTAATCTGGATTAAAAGCTTTATTTTTATGTAAGTAATAAAAAGCACTGGGTAGTACTCAGAAATGACTACTTGTTTTTAAACTATTTTCATGCATTTGACGTGCTTCTCAGTTCACGCACACCAAACACCTAGAAAGGAAGTGCCGAAATAACCTGCATCCTAAAGATAAGCTGCAGCAGAGAACACTACTTCGTACTAGGAACGAGGAGGAAGGGAAGGAAGAAAATGGGCTCTGCTCCCTGTCAAAGGAAACCTGCTGTGCCAAGAGAGGGGAGGAAACAGCTCTGCTTCATGCATTTCCTTTGTAGTGCTTGCAGATTAGCATAATCTGCAGTGATGTTGAATAGTCTTTTTAAATTTTTTCTTAAACAGTGTCTGTTGGAAAAACATGGTCATACTAGGCCACACTGAAGGTCCATCCAGCTCAGCATCCTCTGCCTGTGGTAATGGCTAAAAATAAAATGTTTAGGGAGGAGGAGAACAGGTCTCCAAAATACCCTCCCAGCTTCCAAGTATCTTCCCATTTTTATAGTCCTTCATTTATTTCTCCTTCATGAAGGAGTCCAGTGACACCCTGAGCCTCAGTTATGATAAATGCATCACTGCTACCACTACCAAGTACTTGTTTTATATTGGTGTCAATAACAGATATTAAAAGGTTTGACTGTGCAGTCCTCCCTAGGGTGGGTAGGTGGCAGGGAAGGTAGGTTTAGAAGTGTTACTTTCCCTAGTGTATTTTCAGAATTACATTTGTTACTAAATTTACACTATTGTGCTGATTACTCCAAAAACATCCTCTAGAATATTCAAATCATATGAACCTACTCAGCTCATGAGTAGCATCATTTAATAGTAACTGTTGAAAAGTGTAAGTCAATGTTTATTTCTAAAAGATATATCTACCTATGCTACCCTAATCTTAAAAATCAGAAGAAGCACATATGCTTACCAGCTTAGCCGAGTCCACAGTGCTACTATGATTTCCCAGTGCTCACAGAGCTCTTCAATTCATCCTTACTTTTTCCCTTTTGCTTTCTAAAGTTAAAATTCGGTGGAATTATTCCCAGCCCTGGCACAATTTGGGTTTGTTGTGACTGATGGGATTGACAGATATACTTTGTGTAACACGGGCACCATACAATCTGACTTTCTTCTCCTGTTTTGTATAAAAATGTTACTTTTGTGATATCTAAATTACTCACATAAACATGGATTTTGTAAAAGACACTTTAATTTATAGTTCTCCTTTTTCTGAAGATGTGCTTATATTCAGCATGACATCTTTTCAAAGCCAACTAGAATCTTAACCCCTCACACGCAGGAAAACAAACCAACCAAGCAAAACCATACAATGTATCAAGGAAGATCAAAATCACTCCATCATGCTTATAAGCAAACAGAAGTTAGTATTGCTTGATACAGTGCTGTTTGAAGCAGAATTTATTTTCAGTTTGCAAGTTGAAAACAATGACTGGAAATACACGCTCAAGCATAACGGCAAAACGTGGCTGAGGAGCTGGAGTAAAGATCATCTGAGCTGAAGATAAATTCCATCTCCCTCCTAATTGATATAGGGGATATCAATTTTCAATGAACTAATTTTTAAAGCTTGCCATAGAACAAAAGGAGGAAGAAAAGGAAAAATCAAGGAAACAAAGAAATTGTGGTGGTCTACAACTAATTTGAGGGCTAATATCATATTCAAGTCTTATTTTGTGGGGCTTAAACAAAATACATCAAATGGGAAAGATAAGAGAAAGTCATAGAGAACATAACACTACTCCATTCAGTATCATTCAACCTCCCCTACTTGGCATTTCCCAGTATCAACCCCCTAAAGCCATTTCAGACTCTAAGCACACAAAACAGCTGTCTGTATAAATGCACGCAAAATTGACTAATGTTTTAAAAGCCTCAAAATAAATTGATGGAGAGCAAGAGATCAGAAAGTTGAGAAAATAATGAAAAAATTTAGGAAGGGGAAGATGCACGTCGGCAAGTTGTGTATATTTCAACAAAACAATCTTAACTAAACTACAAAGAAGAAAAAAAGAAACTTAGAAAGATTATGGAGTTCAATTTGCTGCTTTTTATTTTTGAATTATTAAAGATACAGAACTACATTTGCTTGAGTCATAGGCAAAATTTTCACCTGCTCCATGAAAACATCTGAATTTGATAAAACGTTGCCTTCTTCAAAACTAGAGAAGCTTAAATAATCATTTTGCTTTTCAGGTAACAGATGTACATTACATTGCAAATTAAATTCCCCTATTGCTTCTCTACTGATGTATTTCATATAATACGGTTTAATTAAGCAACGATATGGTTGTCGGCAGGTATCAGGCTTCTGTTCAATGCCAGTTTTTTACCTGCATTTTAGAATACGGAAGTGCTCAGATGATGAAAAAAGACTTACTTTCCACACCTACAAATAAGCAGACTTAGTTGCAACGTGCAAAATGGAAGTAAGAAAGTACATTCGCTAAGAGTTATGCAAGCAGTTCTATAGCTCTTCATTATTTGGATTTTAGCTCCAGAGAGCACTCCTTTCCCACTGCCGAAGACGCAGGTATTGAGCTGACTGGTTTACTACCATTTTGCTGTTTGCCCAAGCCTACGGCACACGCAACCAAAGCAGAAGCACCTTCTTCACCCTCAAAGCACAACCCTATAACTTCAACTTTGCTGGAGGGCACAGAAGTGAGAAATGCGGAGACAAATGCTCATCTAGTAGATAAATTCAGAAACTAAAATTTATCATATTTGACTCAAATAATTGCTAAAAATAAATGATCTTTTTTTTTTTTTTTTTCCAAAAAAATGCTCAGCTTTTGTCAGGACAAGATATACTTTCTTCCCTATAACCTGTATAATGTTTCCTTTTCTCCACAACAAACACTGGTCACTAAGTACCTGTCAAGAATCAGGAGCCTGATGTGTTAATCCAACCCACAGAGCTGCAACTGACTCCTAGTAACCTCTGCTGTCTTGAGAAATCCTTGGCTCCAAGCTAGGTACCCAAGATCCACCAAGAGAGTTAAGGTACCTAAGTGAGCGACTGTCAGAAGTCAGCTGAACAGGGACCTGCCTAAACTGTGTGAAATGTGAACTGGTGTGCCTTGGAAAGGCACCTGCATCTGCTAGGGATCTCAGCAGTGAAACTTCTGATCAATGTCACTTTTGTGCTCTGGATAAGCCTTTGAACCCCTATGTTTGATGGGAGACTTTACTGTTATTTAAAGAGGCAGTTCTCACCCTTGAAACAGGCAACCCTACCTGTTGACATCCACCGGACCAGCAGAATAAGGATGCTACATAACAATAGTTTTCTGCTTTATTCTTAGCATCTGCAAAGTGCTAAACCACACCAATGTCAATAATAAATACAATGTAAGGCTGCAGGAAAATGAAGGTCAACTACAGGCCATAAGATTAAGTTCTTGTCATTTCTATCTTTGTTTCCTATGTGGAAAGATAAAAGGATGTAATTCAATTTTAATAGCATCATCTTTATGGACTAAAAATTGACAGCGTAAGTACCAAAATATATGTTCTTCCTTACCTGCAAGTCTAAAATCAGTCCAGCTATCTGATTTTGCTGATTGTCTATGACCTGGAAAATAAGATTGAGTAATTTAAAAGGCTTGAATCTCTTCAGCTCCCTTTTAAAATCAACTTATAGATGTGTAGCCATACATTTCAAATGGCCAATCATTGAAAATGCAAATGACGAGAGTGTTCAATTCTCGCATAACTGGAAATTCATGGAAAATACTTGCACAGACCAGAAACAGACAGGTATTCAAAAGAAATCTGGATTAGCAACAAATGTAAAATTCCTTAGTGAGACAGTTATTTTTAAAATAAATAAAATAAAATAAATGTATGACTCAAGGTTAAAGACACCACCAAAAGTTAATCTGCAGACTAACCTTACTGGCTTTCTCATTCTTTTCTTTGAGACATTCATTCTCATTCTGAAGCTGCTTTGTGTCCAACATGGGAAGGCGAATACCATCTTCCAGGCATTTTTCTACTTTCTGTTGCAAGCTGTTCAGCATGAAAGAAAGAATTAAGTGTCCTGACAGAAACCAAAAGGGCAGTGTGTTCTAATGACAAATTAGAAACATGCACCGTCTTCCAACCAGCACTGTAAAACTGTACAAAACAGAATCCAGCCTTATGAACGAGCAAACCAACAGAGGACGAATGATGCAAAATCCTGTGCTGGTGGTCTGTATTAGGATATGTGATAAAAAGCTCACCTGTGCACACTCAGAGTGAAGCTCAAAGGAGCAACGGCAGGGAGGGGGACTCCAATCACACCCCCCCCTGCCCCAGCTACTCCTAGACCTATCACAGGAGCTGCTCAGCCTGTAAAAGGCCTCTTTCCACACACACGCGGGAGCTCAGAGAGACATCGGCAGGTTGGGGAGCCCGAGCAACAAACAGTTAGAGAAACAAGCCCCTGCCCCAGCAGGGCCATGCATGGGTGAAACCCAGCACCGTGGGTCAACAGGAGCAGCTCTCCTGAGCCCCTCGCACACAGCGGGGGCGGGGGGCACTGCCTCAGAGCATGGGACACACTGGGGAATGCAAGGGAAGAGCACTTTGGGACTGCGCAAGACTTACTAGGTGATGTTTCAGGGAGGAACCAAAGGTGGAGAAAGAGAGGGATCAAGGTGGGTTTGGGAAGAACAAATATGGGAAAACAGAGGGGTATGTGGATAAAACAGGCCAGTGGTGTGTAAACAGGGCTGGTCAGTGTGTTTGTCTGGCCATACCCAGCACCTAATCAGTGCAGCTTGGCCTATCTTCTTATTCTTATTCTCCTTTTCTAACTATTTTCCTAGCTGAATGGATTCTCTGTTGCATGTGGGTGGAGGTCTGAGTGCCAGCAACTGGAACCAGACCATGGCTCCCAGGGGCCCGTGTGACTGTGGGACAACAACTGGAGAGATCAGGATGAGTGAAACTAAGCATCAGCAACTGGAGTGGAACCACGGGCAAGAGGGCCCCCATGTCTGCAGTGCCAGCAAACGAAGCAAGTGAGGGATGCAAGTGAGGGTGTGATTGCTAGTGAACATCCAGCTGGACCATCTGGAGAATAGGTGACGTGACCTGGGAGCCAGGATGTGTGGGGGTCTTAGGGTGAGACCACAGAGGCAGTTGGCTGCTGGATGTGAGCCAGGAGAGTCCCAGTCAACTGCCAGGGAGCCCGTGGAGTCTGGGGATGGACTGAGACCTGCTTGCATGCATGCACTTGTGCATCTTTGTGGTCTATACCAGCAACTGGAGTGGGGCTGCCAGGCATCGGGCTCACATGTGCAGGGGCCAGTTACTGGGTGGACCAAGTGTCTCAGCCCAGCTCCTGGAGGGATCCACATTTTACATATGTGTATATTTATAAATACATAAGTATGCTCCGCTAACAGGCCTTTCTCCTAATCAGCCAGAGAAGGGAACAGAATGAAACTGCTGGTGCTGTTTGTGTTTCTGCGAGTGCTGCAAGCATCTGTACATGTTGACCTGTGTGGCCAGCCATGTGTATATGTACATATGTGACGTACACGTGTGCTTGTGCGTGTGCAAATGTGTGCCTACTGGCAATACATGCTCAGCCTCGTTACTGTCTGGACCTGGGGACATGGAGCTGTGGCAGCCTCACCACTATCAGGCTACTGGATGCACAAGCCCTGATAGTGTATCCCTCAAGCCCTCTGGGACTGATTTGCTGGGGGGAGCATAAAGTCACTTCTGCCAGCTGCTTCCATATGAGGCCATGATCTTCAGACCCTCTGTAGCTCAATTTAAGTTCCCAGGTGTAGCTAAAGCTTTTGCCTGCTCACCTTCTCTCCAAAAGAAAATGCATTTTACTAGTGTTAATTCTGTTGTTTAATTTAGAAACCAGAGGCTACTTCAACTATTTGCAGGCTTTCAGAAAAGACAAAATGATCCCTCCAGATTATGGAGGCATGAAGAAAAAAGGCCTTTCACTTGTAAGATGGAAACAATGCGTCCAACAATTTGGCTGGCAAGGTGTCCCAAGCAGCTAGCCTTTCATCATGGAAACACTTTTAGACTGCTATGGCATGCACATTTACGCAACTGAGGGACACTGAACTGTAGCAACATCCTCATAAATTATTAAGAGTGATTCCCCCTTGCCTTTTTTTTTTTTTTTTTTTTTTTTTTTAATGAGACTAAGTAGTTCCCTTGATTTAACATGTGCCATAGTAATAATGGCTAGGTATCTCACCTGGAATCTTTTCATGGATATCTGTCCCATTTGTTTTTTTATAATCATTCAAGTTCAATGACAGCGCACTAACTGCACTTAAATCTCACTGTAAACATCCCTCAGCCTCAGTGAAAAGATAAGAAACCGTCACAATTCATCATTGACCCTTCCCTGATTTCCCCTCCAGCTGATATTCAGGGAGCTTTTCGACAGTTCGTGATAGGATTAGTTACTAAACAGGAATGCTGACAGCTTTTATACAGTGCTTCTTTGCTGCACATGTTTATTCCAGCCTCTCCCTGGCAGTAGTCCATGATACCACTGCAGCAGCGTGCACAACTTTTAAAAAAAAAAAGAAAAAAGAAAAAAAAAAAAAGACAGGGAAGAGTTTCTAGACAGACTTTTCTCTGTGGCACTACTGCATTACACTGTCATTTTGCACAGTAATATATTTATGCCACGAAAAATCATTAGCACTCTAATAGATTAAGACTGCAAAAAAGTGAGGTCTTGACATTAGCTGGGAAAGTATATCCATCGCAGTACACAGTCCAAGCAGCTGTTCATACCTCTGCACTGTTGTGACCAGCTCTTTTTCTTTTTTCTTCTGACACACCAGCTGCAATTCTTTGTCCCTGCACTGTGATCGGGTCTCTCCAAGCTTCTTCTCTAACTCAGTCAGAGTTTCCTGGAGCTGCTTGTTCTTCTCTTCTAGAATTTGCAGCTAACACAGATTATATTAGTCAGACACAAAGCCACATTAGTAGAAGGGCTTGTGGCAGGCCACAGCCTTGCAGTTACCTTCTGCATAATCTTAGGCCTACTTTATCTATCTGTGCATGAGTACCTCTAATATAGCTACAGTGCTTTTTAAAACATTCAGCCACTTCTCTTCCCAAATAGATGATAAAAATTATGTATATTAAAACAGTAAAACACTTCACAGCAGACATTATAGAGCTTACATGTATTTTTAAAATGTAAAACCAATTCTTTCTACCTTACCTGTTTAGTTTGACCTTCTATATCATCCAGTGTTGGCAGGTCAGCCAGGTATTTTTCTAAGGTTTCGATTCGTCTCTGTTTTTCTTTGTTTTGCTCAGACTCCTTCTGGCATTTCTTTTTTAGGCTGTTGATGTATCGGTCTCTAGTTTTAAGCTAAAAGAACGGAAGAATACATGTTTTATGATTGCAATGGAAAACAAACCTCCTTTGCAACCAGAGGCTGATTACTCTACGGGAAATGTACTCACAGCTACATGCAAGGGTTGGCTACTGCAAAAAACAAAAACAAAGAATGATTCTTTCTGCTCCACCCCAGCAGCTCCAAGTCACAGACCTGCACTTGACCATTGATCATTCTCAAAACACAGCTCCTTCACCTCTTCTTAGAGCACATCACGTGCCTCGGAAACCAAAAGTCTTCCAATTCAATGCTTAAATTATATATAAAGTTTTCAGCAGTGTGGGTGTTCATATGCCACAAATGATCAGGAAATATTTTAATCCTAACTCTCCCCCTGGCCTAAACAACAACATAAAAACACAGATCCGCAAGAACCTCACCCAAGAGGAACTGCAGCCAAAAATCTGACCTTGATGCCATCTGACAATTACATCAGAGGACATCAGAATGGAAGAGCTGCTTTCTTAAAGCAGCTTTTCTACAAGCATCTTAATTGTGTATCAGCCTGCAAGAGGTTTTGCTTTTTTTTTTTTTTTTTTAAATATTATGTTATGATCCTATGGGAGCCAATCACAAAACATATGCTTGCATCCCCACTATTTACTTGCTTTATTACCTAGGACTAAGAAAGGGGAAGAGAGGCAGGAAAGAGTATTTTCCAATGAGGATCTGATTTAATGGAAAACTATATCTCTGTTGCTGCAACCAACATGTAATAATTCACAGATAACAAACACTTGCCACTAGAGTAAATGTGAAATGTATTTTTAATTTGGTTGTTGGAGACATTCATCTCACTGAGAAAGGAACGTGTGACACTGTCAATGTCAGAGCTCAGTGACGGAGGGTACAGAAATGTTTAAATTGATAATATCTGAAAAGGTTTCCCAGAAACAGCCTTCTAAATAGGCCAGAAAACTTCAGACCGCCAAAATGCTGAAAATCTTTACATCATCTCTTTTTTCAGGACCTCAAAGAGAAACAGAGCTTTCAGGCAGCTCTAAAATCTTTCTGATTAGACAAAGCTCAACTAAAGCCCACATTCACTAAGGCGGAGTTACAATTTAGCCTCAATATTTTGTCACAACATATCCTTCAGTAGCATTTACTTCCTCCCTCCCCTCTAAAAGTCTTAAGGCAGCAATATACGTTACAGTGCGAGAATTCCCAGGAGTCTGGCCATTAGACCACTTGAATCCCTTCCCCTTTGTTTCCCGTGTACTACAAAGGATGACGAGAGGGACTGTTAGAATACTCCAGTACTTCCAGGACACAGATTAGTCCGTTTCCAACCCTTTTTCTTCTCTTGCATACATATGCTGAAGGTCTTCGCCTGCAGTCAGGCTCTGCAATTTCTCTCCTATTCTAAACGTAGCTACGTTTGTGTTAGGATTTCTCCCTTCCTCTCAAAATCCCCAGCATCACCCCAATTCCTTTCCTACCCTCTCTCTCCTGACACAAATACACACACACATTTAAAAAAAAAAAAAAGGCTTGTTCATTTATTCTTGCTCACTCTACTGAGAGGAATGAAAGTTTTGGGGTTTGTGTGTTTCCCCCTGTCCATACACACTGCTGATGACTTTGTCAGGGCAGGAATAAAATAGAAAAGCTCTCACCTCCTGGCAATTACTTATTAAAAGGCCACAGAAACCATATGGGAGAACACTGCTCCAGGCAGTCAGTGGTACCGTACAGAAGTCCTTTGTAATTATCCATAGAGGAGGGAGAACGAGGAGCCAGCAGAGCGCAGGTGTCTGAGCTGAATCATTTCCAGCCTAGCAGTCAAATTCTCAGATGAAATGCCCCAGAGCTAAAGCGAGGGCTGCAAAATCTGCAAAAAATGCCAAGAGGCACATGCATGCTTGGCATGGGGAAAAGGTGGAACCCAGGCACTCATGACAAAGGACACTGATAGAGGGTACTGCAATATCTGCCTTAGCAATATCAGGAAGCCACGAGCTGCTACCAAGGCTCCTAGTCAGTCACAAGAAAACATCTTTTGCAGACCGGCATTCAGAGCAGAAGCCCAATTAAATTGCAGTCACCTCAACCCTACGCTAACTACACATGGGAGTCTCAAAAAAATCTTCTCATTCAGGCATCAGTATTATTTATAAAATGGTACAAAAACTCTCCCGGGTGGTATGTCTGCACAGGGCAAAGACAGGTACAATGTCAGCAGTGAGCACAGAGCACTTCTCATCTCTGCTGGCCCTGCAGTTTCTGAAAAGGAAAGCATGACATACATCTACCCTAATGTTAGAAATGACACAGCACTTCAGACCAAGAGGCTCTCTAGCCCAGTATCTTGTCTCCAGCAGCATCTGTAAACAGCTGCCTATGGTGGTGAAAGAACAAGGAAAGCATATTTTCCTAGATTCCAGTTGTTTTCAACTTAGGGACTGTCCTGAGGCAGCTCTGATTTCTGTGTATTTAGAACTCGAACTTCCATGAACTTGCCCGCTCTTCCCTTAAGCTCTCCTATACTCTTGGCATTCATACCAGTCTTTGAAAAATCGTTTTACAGGTTTATGGCCCTTCACATCAGGAATGAGCATCAGCTCCTTTTGCCGGTTATGTATACGGCTCCTACAAGCTTCACTTGATTTCTCTTGTTCACTGGGAGATGCAGGAAACAGCCGATCACCCTCCACCCCTCTGCTGCTGCTTATGATTCTGCAGATTCCCCTCACACTCCCCTTAAGTCACTTCTTCTCCAGTGCAGAGACTTAATCATTCCTCCTGTGATTTTTCTGATGGATATTTGTCTTGTTGCTCTTCTGTGAACCTTTTCCAGTTCCACTGCATCCTGTTTTTGAGACAAGGGAGCTCTCACCACTGAGGACTGACGGCCAATGAAACAGAAATGTCCTTATGTTTTCTTTCCTTCCACCTGCACCAGAAGAGCCATAGCTTGTCCCTTATTCTCAAAAAGTTATCATCTGCACACAATATTTAAATGCTCCATGTTAAAACCTCCGATATAGAAAACATCAATATTGTTTGCAAAAGTAGGGCAGCCAGAAAATTAAAAATTTATGCCAGTAACCTTCACCTGAACTTGTAAGTATTCTTTCAGGCAGGCTCTTGCAAGCAAAGCTCACCTGACTACTAATTTGCTTCAACTTTGTAGCATTTCCCACTCCCCAGCCAAACCTGGCTTTGGGCTGAAAAACCTTGTCCCCTTCAAAAAGGCAGGCACTCACCTGGAAAGAACTCCAGCACAGTTACACAGCAACAATCCCTTTGATGAGTACAGAAATAGTATCTTTTGTCCCCTAGCATCAGTCACCACCCAGGGACACCATGCCCTCTTGGCTTTGGGCTGACCTCCCTGTCAGCACAGCGGAGGGATTCCAGAGATGGCCGTGCCCAAGCTCACCACCCACCACTGCTCAGGTCCCCAGCCTGCTGCATCCCTTGGGAGCACGGCACGTGTCCTTCCTCCCTCTGCAGCCTTTCCTCAAACAAAAGGGCACTAATCTGACTACAGAAACACACGTTCTCCCTCCCTGTCCGCTCTCTCCTGGAGAACCTCCTGTGCAGGGCACAGGAGGGACAGGAGGCGAGGAGTGAAGCTGGACCACACAGTGAATCAGGCTCCTGACTACAGACCCTTCAACCAACGCGCTCACTACTACACAGGTCCTCGCCAGTGCCACCACTCGCAGCAGCAGTTCCTACGTGGTGAGGAACACAAGCATTAAAAGCTCACACAGGAGGAAGCAGCAGCATTCGATTTCTTAGCGTTTCTTCTGCCCATCCTGACTGCCGTCTTTAGTGAAAGACGGACTTGCAGGGTTCAGAGGGAACAGGAAGGCAGAACTTGAGAGACAAACTATACTTTCTTCTTTTGCTTCCCACTTGTCACTTCACTGTATCATACTGAAATGGCACGACTCAGTGCCACCTGTAGGAGGAGGCTGAGGCAGATGATGCACCATCCTCTCCTCCTGCTCCTATCGCCTGAACATGCATTTAGGCAAATCTAAGCCCAGCAGTAGGGCCCAGCAATCAAGGCGAAAAAGATAACAGCAGTGAGGTCTCCCTAAACCTTAGGGACCACTGCTCAATTGCACGTTCTCACTTGCTATAAACGAAGGCTGTCAGGATATTCAAAACTACCTGGGGTATTGCTTCAGCTCCTAAAGAAGCCCCTTGTCAGGACAGTTCAAGTACATGGCCATCTAAGACCCTTCCCCTGACCCAAACTAAATTCTGCTTTGTACATCCTATAAAAGCTACAAGAGAATCTCACCCGTTGAGCAGCCACAATCAGTTTGTTAGACGCAACCCAGAGCATAAGGCCTGCATCTACCATTCTAACAACACAGAATGCATTGTTTCACCTTTCCTATTTTTTTTAAGGCTACTTTATTTACTGTAATGAACACTTCTAACTACATGAATTTTTAGACTTGCAGTTGAGCAGCTTTTCTTGAAAACAAGTTTAACTGGTACACGATTAAAACTGTCAGCATGAGGTCTGAAACATGTATTCAGATCATCATTTCTTCTGGTCAGTACCACATCTTAGGGCATTCACTAAAAATTCAAATGTATCTACTGCAACACCTACTACCAATAACTACCAATTTTTCCATCACAGATAAGTTTAGCTACCTTTCAAAAACATGTCAGCAACCCACACATAGTTCAGTTGCTTTCTAGCAGACAAAACATCTCCTGCTGTAACAGTGTCAAAAAGAAATCTGAAATATAAAAGACACTTACTTTCTCTTCCATCTTCTTTTTCTCCTCACTAGATTTGTTTGACATTTGCTTAAGAAATTCACCGAGTTGTAATTCCTTATTCTCAGCTGCTGCAATCTTTCGCTCAAGCTCCTCAAGGTGCGATGTTGGTCTTTCTGAAAACTGAGGTTGCAACGATGTGCTCTCATACTGTGGTTGCTTATAAAAAAAAAGAAATAAAATAATCATACAAGTGTTCACTACTTCAGTAGCACAGCAGAAAACATTCCTTCCACTGTCAGGAAGGATGGGGTTTGATTTTCAAATACTAAAACATGTGGCAGCAGTACGTATTTCAGGAGCCTTCATTATGTGGAGTAAAATATAAGCTGGACATCTCTGCGTTCACAGTGCATACAAACGAACATTGTGGTGCTATTTCCCCCTCAGATTAACAGGGGCAGGAGGGTGTCTTCAAAAGAGGAGGAAAAAAAAAGGAGGTGGGAGGGGGCAAACAAGGAAGAACCATTTCCAAAACAAATCACTGCCACTGCATTAAGATACCATCCCACAAAAACGCTCTGCAAAATGACTACGAATGTATTAAAATAGGAGATGCCCAAACCTCACAGATCATTCTTAAGCAGAGTGTTAATACTAGTCAAACTTCAGAGCCATCCCTGAGGTGCAGAAGGGTGCAGTGAATAGCCCGAGACGACACAGTGATAAAGCTCCAGGCAGAAGGTAGGAGGCCTCCTGCCTTCTGTCCTGTCTAGTAAAACCTGGCTTTCCACTTCACGCAACTAGGTATCAATCTTCTGCTTCCACTGACAGCACAGAGACAAGCTCAGAGTGGAAATTCACTGCATGAGGGACAAAAAGAACCTGAGATACACCCCACCAGGCTTTCAGGTTCATTATTTTTTTAAAAAATTGGTATACGTAAAGAAATTTTACAGACAGTCCTTTTGAATTAATAACGTTCCTTCAGGAAAGCGGATGCAATATCCCTACGTATTCACAATTTACTGACACAAACCATTAGAGATTTTCACTTGAAAATTAACCTAAGTCAGTAAACAAATCAAGTAGAACTCCTAAGACCCTTTATAAGCTCAAAATTTTTGTTTAATTATGAACGATGAAAAGAATCTACTGTTTTAAAGTGTATTATGGTATACTAAGATACGTATGCTAAAATTTCAATTTCTGCAATGTTTTTCAATATCTGAATCTAGCCAGAATTTAAGTATTTTATAAAGGAATTTCTGGAAGCATCAAAAGCCAAACTGCACATTCCTAGATGTCTGAGAAAATTCCTAAATACTTAACTTCACACTGAGGCTCCACTTGAGTCTCTCTTTCCTACCCTACACAAACTGGAGTCTTATCTAGCTCTGCCATTCTAAGGCAAAAGACGTTATTAATTGATTAATTAAGACATTATTAATTAATGTTATGCAGAAGTACGTTAGCTGAGATTCTGGTGCAGCATTTGTGACAAAAAAGTAATAAAAGAGGGACAGATTAACTATTTCTTTGCATATCTGCCTTGAACGTTCTCTTTCTATGAGTGCTTTTAGATATGCCTCAGTGCTGAGATGCAATTTGTGTGCCATAGTACCCACAGCCCTCAAATGAATCTGCACTTGGTCACTAGCCTATGCTACCTCATCTTTATACTTGCTGATATTTGTGCTAGCTAGATTGAAACTAGAACAGATACACCCAAAATACCACACCTTTCCTTTGAAACTAAGATATTCCCTAGGAGTACTAAACCATATCCTACTCCAATGTCTTGTGCAAAAGTACTCCACCAGCCTCTATTTGACTTTTCACATCTCTTCCACTTATTTTACGGTTACTATCTCCCTAGCACCATTTCCTTTTGCGTTGTACCTCTTTCTCCTCTTCAGAAAAACCTTTCTCAGATGTTTTCTGATATTCCCTTCCTGAAACACTCCCCTTCAACATCTCCCTGCATGTCCAGGCTATGTGCACACTGTTACAATCCCTCATTCTTACCCCATATTTATTATGTTTCAAAACAAATCTGTATATGATATTAACATAAATTAGACTTTTGCAAATATAAAGTGAATTACAACACTTACAGGACAGTCTTCTCTATGCAAGTTACAGCTATACAATTACACACCTACCTATCAGTTATAAAAACTTTGCATTTTGGCCTGCAGAAAATAGGCAACATGCTTTCAGATGTCAGTTCCTGGGCAGAAGCACACTTCACTAACAGAAAAACATCCATCTTACCTGAAAATCAGTCATGTAAGGTTCTTCACAGTTCACAAGATGGCTCAGTCTTGCATGTTGAGCTCGTAATTCATTTTCCCTTATCTTCTGATGTAAATTGTTAATTTGCTGCTTTTGCCTGTAATATACAGATTTCAAAAGAAAGGGGATAGAACAGATATTGAGATAACATAACAGTCTTTAGATTTACACTGTAACAATGCTATTCAACCTACTTTCTCTCTCCCATGTTGTCCAGTGAAGCAGTAACAAATACCACAGACAGTCAAATTATGTATTTCATAATCCTGAACCTTCATTAACTGTGGGCTTTCTCCACTGTATCCAGAAGGAAACTAACGTAGTGTAACTCTACAGCCGGAATCTTACCAGGATATGAACTACTAAACTATAGCTGCACGCAACTTCTACATTAAGCATACCCCAAATGACCTATTTTCAAATGAGAATAGTAAGTAAACTGTAGAAATATAATTTGAAAACTCTTTTTTGGGGGGAGAATGGTAATTCTGCCATCGTTTACTCCTCTCACCAAAAGCGCACACAGGAAAAAGCTTGTGAAAACAAACAAAACACACCATTTCACTTGGCCCTCTGCTCTGCACCGTTTCTCTCCATGAGAGCTGACTTTTGTCATAGGCTGGAGAGACTTACAAATCAAAGGGAACAGAAAGAAATTAAAAAGAAAAAGGGATTGTATAAGATAGACAGCATGGCTTTCCCATGAAGTCTTTCTTTTTGCTTCCCTTAAGACCTTTTCAATCAACTGCTTTATGCAAGACATTTCCTGCTACTAGGGTTAAACACTATGCTGCATACTAAACCAGAATTAACCTCTTAAACCAATCACTTGGCCAGTATACACCAGAAACATAATTATATCACTTTTAAATCACAGCTGAATTTGAACTACCATGCCTACAGGGCAAATAGAAGCCAGGTCTCAACTCCAGACAAAGTCACATTAGAGATAGGGAGTTGGAGGTTTGCTATATCCTTCATGGAGAGATGGGCACATCAATAACTGAACAGGATGAGTTGTCTTACTGACCTATCAGAAATCATTAACATACATAGCTACTTTCCCAATTAATTTAAAAATAATTCTGTGTACTCCTTCAGCTTCACTTCCTTAGTTTAATTTTTACCGTCTTTTTTATACTAAGATACGTTTGCATGCAAGAATGAAATTGTTTCTCAAAACATCTCTAAACATGCAATAGGATTGCATGCATCTCTAAACATGCAATATGATTAGCTCTTCTGGAAATGACGATGCTGAACTGAGATGACTAAATCCAAAAACTTAAGAGCTGATAAACAGCAAATACAGCTTAACTTCAAGAAAATATCTGCCTTTGCACAGACATAAGGGAGTGTCTTAGCCATATAAGTTCTCCTAGCTAGCCATCAGCTGACTGTATCCCAATGATGTGGTTTATAAGAGGAATTCATTATTTAAAAAGAGAGAATGAATATATTAGAAGCTAAACTCTAAGCTCTGTCACAAACGTGATGTAATGTGATGAATCCCTAAAAGCACTCATCTTTCTATGTTGCCTTATTTTTATATCTATAAAGAATTGAGATTAATGGGAAATCAGTTTAAAACAGGATGCAATTCTGTAGTATCTTAAAACAATTCATGCAATGCAATTCATAATACGCAGTTCTGTTTGGGGTCTTTTTGTATGATGGCACTACAAATAAAAAGCCACAAACTTATTTTGGAAGAAGTAGATGAGAAGATTAGGAGAAAGAATATGCTCTTTGCTTGTAGCAGCTCATATATAATGAGCTCAACAGCTTGTGTAATAGCATGAGAAAATATAAAGCGTTGACGAATTTTGTTGCATGCTTGGTTACAGATTGCAAAGTCATTTAGTATGAGATGTCTTAACCCATGATTAAAAGTCATGTTTCCTTTTTTTATCATCTCATTACTTACTGGATAAAATATCTGTTAAAATAACTTTGCCATATTTGTTTTAAAATTATTTAGCCATTTGTCACTCACCCCTGGAGGATACTACATGATTTCCTCTTTGGGGCTGATCATATCTTACCAGCGCCTTCCGTAACAGACGGCAATTCAACAGCCTGAACCAAACATTCTGAAACATTTTTGAACTTCCAACTACATTACCATATTTCCTTTCATAATCCCTTCCCTACCCTACCAAACTCCTGCAGGAAAAAAGTGAAACAAATTAATCCACGACGAAAGAGAGCTGCACTAGCAAAGAGCATGACTATTTTTGCCTCTTCGTTCTGCAAAGGATGATGCTCTCCACCATTCTAACACTTGCCAACAAAACACACAGTACAAATATTTTAAGTCTGCGTAGATCCTGTACAATTTCTTCACGTAACCACCTCTCTTAAAAACGTGATTAACCTCATAGCGCCCAGAAAAAAAAAAAATTTGAAAACAGACTAGCAGTTACAAGCAAGTTTAAAAAAAAAACACCACAGAAACATATTTACTATTTACATATAATCCTGTAAGTCTTTGGAGACCTCATACCACATGCATTTTATCACTGATGTTGTCATATGCTAAGACAGTTATAAGCCTCTGCTACCCCACAGCTGTTACTACTAATCCACAGCATAACCACGGGCTGTGAGCTTTATTTAAAAGGAGTGCAGAACAGTTCAGACGCTCTCGCAAACCCAGCTTGCGTATGGCACTGGCAACGCTGACCCCAGGGCATGCCTGTTCCCGGTCGATTGTCCTGGCACCTCCAGAAAAACCTTCAGCATTGAGACCCTTTTGAATTTTGACAAATGTTTGCAAACCCTCACCCACTGTTCCCCTTCTCTAATCAGCTGTTGACACTAGCGAGTCTCCCCAGGGGTTTAAGATGTTAAAAAGAGGTGGAATTCATGTTTATTTGCTACAGATACAAGAGTTACCACCCAGCTGCACTCACCTCCCTCCAACCAACTCATTTGCCGGTAATTTTTAAAAAAGACAGGAATTTTTACTGTCTTGCACAGGACTGGAAGTCTCCAGACATTAAGCTCCTCCAAATTTTGCGGTTCTAGAAGCCACCTGTGCATTAACGGGCCGAGGCTGCGGCCAACAGGAGCTCACCCCAAAGACGCTGCTCTGCAGAAACCAGGCCACAGCTCATACCACTAGGTTCAACGACAACACTGTGTCTACTTACCACAAAAATTAGTCCTGCTCACAAATTCCCTGTTTTCTTCTGTGAACGAGTGTTACAATTCTACATTAATGGCAAAACAAGAGCTACTGGCCCATTATGCAAGCTTCCCGGGATGTCTCAAATGATTTCACTCCGTTTCTCTGCCAATCAGAAGATACAAAAGCATTCTTTGTATCTCACTTTAAATTCCTGTCTGGATACCTCTCTCCCATTACCCCCAGGGCTTAAAGAGAAAAGAAAGGGAGGCAATACCCTGCTCTAACCTCTTACAACCAGCCAAAGGGACTCAAAGAGGAGGAAGTTAAAAAGGGGGGGGGGGGGGGGGGGAAGCTGCCAAATGCAGGAATAAAAAAGACCCTTTTGAGAGGAGCATTTAGAAGCGTTCACATTTAAACTGATGCATCAAAATTTATGCATCTTTTAACTAAATTTTCTTCTAACTTTTCTATCCATCCTGCGACAAGGACAGCGCAAGGTTGCTTCTCGTGGCGCATCCTGCCTCTGACACTCTTCTCTGCAGACTAAGGTGGAGAAGATTACACGCTAACGCCCCAGGAAGGGTCAGACAAGCTCACCCCACACCAGAGGGCCACGACTCCGCTGACCAAGCTTGCTAGTGTCCCAAGGAAAACAAGTGGTGCCGCTTGACACTTTACCTGGATCCACTCCAATAAGCAAAAAGAAAGGTACAGCCGTAACAGTGAAATATCAACGAGGGAAAAAACACCGATTTGGATTCGTTTGTAGCTCTGTGCTTTGGCTCAAACAATCCTCTTTGGGAACCCCCCTCTCCCCCCAATAGCAGCCAACATTTGACTTAGTACAGAGGACAGGGGACAGTGCAGAACACGGCTCAGCTCAACCGGCAAGCGCCTGGACTGTCTACAGAGACCAGCATTACTAATAAACAAACTGTTCAAGATACAAATTGCTTCTAGGTAGAACGTTAGCATGACATAATCGACTTTCACATCATTTTCCCATGCTCAGATAGGACTAGCTAACCGTAACTGTGGACACAGGCTTACACAGACGCTCACAGGCACACACATCTCAACAGCCCAGTACCACAAGGTTACACATTGTATTCAGCTGGAAATAAACTGCATTACCTGAAACCTGGGACAAACTCATCTGTTCTCTATTAATCCATGTTACCACTGATTGATTCTAACATGAAGGAGTTTTTAAAAACTCATGTCTGCCAGAGAAGCACTTCCTCCTCATAAATCCGTGTAAATTTAAAAGTTAAGTTTCTTAAGAATCCTACACTAGAGGTCAGGAAAAAGGTCCAATATCTTCAAACACTTCAAGGACTTTAGAAGACAGCTTTTTCCACCAGAAAACAGACATTGCTAACTTCATAACAAATCAAACGACAATTGACGCTCACCTTCAAAGATCACGAATTATGGAGAAGTAGCTGCTTTAGGCGAAAATGCATGAACAGATCTCCTCAGAATCGGGACGTAAAGCATAACATAGTACGTGTCCTTCTATAGTACAACTATTTCTTAAGTCCATGACACAGTTAGAGGTATCCTGCTTTGTTTTGTAGCTTAAGAAGCTGGACACTAATTTTCATATCCCTTTGTTTTAAGGGCATGATCTCTTGGGAGACAAGTCCAAACGTGCAGAGTACTGATAGGGAGAGAGATCAGCAGTACACAAAGTCCTAAAAACAATGCAAATACATTTTCCGTAACTCAGAAGATAAAAAGGCCAAGGAATTCTGGTATCACTGAGGCTCGGGAATGAAAACGGCCCCAAATTTCTTATGCAGCAAAGTCTGTTTTTTTGCAAGGCACTTTAAATGTCTGCGGTTCAAAGCAAACGCTACCTTTCCACCAGTCACAGAAGTTAATCTTGACAAGAAGATGGGAACACCACCTCTGGGAGTCAAGAGGCAATCTCTAGTCTGGAGGGATTGCTACTTTTTTTA